GCGCGGGGGGCGCCTTGCGGCGCTGCGAGGCCAAGATGGCGTTGGAGGCGGCGCGCGTGCTGTTGACCAGCAGGCACTGCTGGCACGAGCAGGGCTGGCCCGAGCTGGCGCCCACGGGCCAAGACTGCGACTTGGGGATGGAGCCCACGGTGAGCGGGTAGGCCAGGTCCAGGCGGCGCCGCAGGCGGCGGCGCCGGCGCGTCTGGCGGTTCATCTGTGACATGCTGTTGAAGTCGATGAGGTAGCAGAAGCCCAGCGACGAGAGGTCGAGCCACGGGTGCTGCTTCTCGTAGGCGTTCTGGATGGTGATGCAGATGTCCATGTCGTAGGCCGTCCACGCGCCGCCGTCGTTCTCCCACTCCCACACGATGCCTTTGCCGGGCGCCGACGACGGGTCGTAGAAGTTGCGCCGCACCGGCCGCATGGTGCCTGCGGGACAGTGGAGGCAGGGTCAGGTCCCAGGGGCAACATCCACGGGAGGGAATGGGGCAGGGGGAGGGTTGGCGCAGGCAGGGGCGAGGGAGGCGGAGGGAGAGACTCAGCAAGACGCAGCGCCGGGAGGCAAGCGAGGCCCATGGCTCGAGGGTCCAGGGCCCTGAAGCTTGGTCAGGGAAGGGCAGGCCGAGGCCAGGGAAGCCCAAGCCCTGGGTGCGGGCAGGGTCATGGGGTGGCATGCAGTCTTTCCTTCATGAGTTTCCCGCGCGTTCACCCCTTCATCAACCCGTAGGGAGCGTATTCATTGAAGCCTAGCTCAATCCTGCGGTGCTTCTGTCCTGAGTTCACTGTTACCCGCGCCGTGTTCACCTTCCGCTGCCCCTCGTTCCTACATTCAACAATTCTCCCCGTACTTCTCCCACCAGCCTGGCGTCGTCCATTAGGGTTTGAGTTCATTTGGTTCTGTAATGAATACCTTTATTTCTTCCTGCCCCTGCACACTCGCCTATATTGGTGTGACCAGCCCTTCCTTCTTTCACTACCAAACTATTTAAAAGGTGCGCCGGGCCCAGAGGCCGTCTCTACCCCTCTTCTTCCTGCTCTGCCTCGTCCAGCTGGGGTATTTGATCCTTACGCGTTTGTCTCGTGTTCTGTCTCCCGCACTGGACAGTCACGGCCACAGGCAGGGGCCCTGTTTCGCCCACTGCCGCAGCCGCTGCCCTGCACACAGCAGGTGTTCAGCTATTGACCCATTCTGGAGCAGGCTTTCACCCATTCTCCCAGGCCCCTTGCTTCTCCCTGGCCCTGCTCATCGCTCCAGCCACCTGCTCGCTCTTTCATTCAGGTTTCTTAGTGGTTCCTTCCGGAACGGGCAGCTCCTGGCCGGCCGCTCTTTGGAGGGCTCCACGCTGAACACTCATTAAAAATCAAGGGGAGAACCATGGGGTGGCCCCAGCCAGGTGGGGGTCATGCCCATGTTTTTAAGAGGATGGCACGGAGGCTTTGCCCTCCCCTGTGGCTGCGTGGTCCCCAAGGTTCTAGCCACAGCCCAGGAGCAAGGCCCCAGACAACTCTGGGTGGACAGGACAACCCACGCCAAGGTTTCAGGACTTCTCAGAGCTCTGTGGGGGGATGGGGCTGAGAGTCTTTAGCTGGGTGCGCTGGGCTCCCCTGCAGAGGGTGTCCTCGAGGGTAGGGGGCATCCTCCAGGGTAGGGGGCATCCTCTCCCCAGAGAACCAGACTTCTGACTCCAGCTGTGTCCTCGGCACCTGCCCCATGGAGAGCTAACAGGAGTCTCAAACTCAGCTCTGCCAAAGCGAGCTCTCCGCACCCCCACACATCTGCCCCCTCTAGAGCCTCCCCCCACCCCCCAGCGCTCCACCCTTCCAGTTGCTCGGGTCCCAGCCTTTCAAACCCACACTCAGTCTATCAGTAAGTCCAGCCCCCCACCTTCCAATGCACCCTGCACCTCCCCCTTACCCCCCCCCCACTGCACTGATTCTACTGGTCTAAACTGTGGGAGCTCATGGACGGCGCCCCCTGGCCTGTTGCTGTAAACTCCTGAGTGGTCTCTGCTTCCCTCCCTGCCCTCAGCTGTCTGTTCCCCAGCCAGAGGAAACTGTTGTTCAGAGCAAGTTGGATCACACCCTACTGTTCACCTGCAGTAAAAGCCAACATCCTGACCCGAAATCCCCGCGTCATCCACGCATTCACCGGCTCACTGTGCCCAGGCCTGCTGACCTCCTGGCCCCGCCTCGTCAACACAGACACCCCAGCCGCCCGCCCGGGGCAGGCCTTGCAGGGCACTTTCCCCACCTGGAAGACTCCGCGGCTCTCCCAGAGTCTCCCAGAGCACGAGAGGAGAGTTAGGTCCTCACGGCCTGGCCTCCCTTTCTTCCCGGTCTCTGCAATGTCACCTCTTTGGAGAGCTTCTCAGACAGCCCTTCCAAGTGCCGCCCTCCTGTGCCATCCTCTGCCCTGGCTTCCGCTCTCATCTTGGTGCTCGGTGCTCCCTGGCGTGCTGCACTAATCTGCCTCTCTCTCACTCCCTGTCCCGTTCTGTCAGCGCAGCCAGGCCAGCGGCTCCAGGAACGGGGACCTTTCCTCACTGCTCTGTCCCCAGCACCCAGCAGCGCTTGGCCCCCGACAGTGGTCACTTTGTGACAGCCCGTCTACTCCCACCAGGGTGCCCAGCCCAGGAGCTGCAGCAACACGGGCAGTGGCCTGCCATGGGGTCCATCTTGCTCGGGCTCCCCTCTCCTGACCACACACCCGACTGTTCTTTACTCGGGTCCCTCCTTGGGGCTCCAGGAGTCCCCTGTCCCCTCTATGTTACCGACACTGGCTGCACACCACCTCTGCCCTGTCCACGCGAGACCCCTAGACGGGAAGTTGAGGTGCAGAGCTGTTGCTGTTGATGTGAGAGAAGCAGGGTGGCCGGGGGGCCCTGGGCTCCTGGAATGTTCCATCAATCACGTGGAAACTCCCCCGGGGCCTCGGGGCAGCCTCATTCTGATGCCTGATTTATCATTTTAATCGAGTGTGTGCATACTGATATTTTCCTTGCCAACAGTGTTCTTCCATGGCAGCCCTGAGTGGGGACGAATTCGAAGGGAATCTCAGATCCTGTCTCTGCTCTGTCCTGAGTGCAGCTTTTCTCTTCTCTGGACCTCAGTTTCTCCTTCTGCAAAATGAGAGCTCGATGGTCTTCATACTGCGCAGTGTTACCTGGCAGGTGTAACCCCTGCCTGGAAAGGAGTGGGGTTGGAGGACCTGTTTCATTTAAGCACTCCTGTGTGCCAAGTCCTATGTGCTGGGCAGGGCAGGGTCGAGGTGGAAGGTATAGAGTGAAGTGGCTGAGAGAGACAACTTAGAAGTCTCACAGATCACGTGCAAATTCTGTCTCCACGTGTTGTCTCAGTGTCTTCATCTGTGAAATGGGAATATTAAAATCCATCGCTGCCCCCTCAGTTATTGTGGAACAAAACAGGTGATGTAAGTCATGAGTGCTAGTAAGTGTTAGCCAAGAGGATTGTTACTATGACATACGTGACCCACATGCATGCCCTCCTAGCCCTTCTTCAACTGGCGAACTCCTATTCATCCAACAAAACCCTCCATATGCCTACGTCTTCCAGAAAGTGCTTTTTCTGTTCGTTGCTACAGCTGGCGTAGGCAGCTTTTTATTGCAAATCTACCCTTGCACTGTCATTAAATTATTTGCTTTTGCTGTCCTTCTCCCTCATTAATTGGTGACTTTCAAGTAGACAAGGAATAGGCCAGAGCCCTGTCTGTTCCTAGCACCAGGCACAGAGTCTGGTGCAAGAAGGTGGCTGCAACCTACTTAGCACAGGCAGGGCTCAGAGAGGGGTGGTCTTGATAGAGAGGGAGTGGAGACTGGAGCAGTAGCCAAAGTGTGCTGGGTCCGGGGAAGAGGGTCTAGGAGTCCAGAGGCCAGCGTTGGCCAGTTTTGTAGCAAAGGACTGTGGGAGCCTCTTCTGGCCAGGTCGGGGCCAGCCAGCCCCGGCATCCTTCTCTCCAGGGCTCTATTTACCAGGTATTGATTTTCCTGCCTGTTTACTGGTAGTTATTAAAGGCTGCGTCCCTGGAGTCCTTTTCAAATGGGATTGGAACCTGGAGAGCTGGAGTAATTAGGGCAGCGGCCCTGCTGGGCCCTGCACCCCCAGTGCTGCTGCTTGCTAGTGCCCATTTGTCCACCTCTCCGACTCACGCTGGCCGTGGACCAGGCCGAGGGGGACCAGCTGGTTCCCTGGTGACTTGCCTGAGCGGCGATCTCTAGACTTCTAAGGGAGCTGCAACGGAAACACTCCTTCTCCTCTCCAGCGGCCTTGGCCTAGATTTTCGGCCAGAACAATGGGTCTAAGATGGGGCTGGAGGTTCTTCAGCCTGGGAGACGGGAAGGAATGCAGACTGGTGGCCCTGAGATAAGGCTGGTCTTACTCATCACCCCACGCTGCCGGGTGTCCTTGGGTGGGCTGCCCCTCCCCGGACTCCAAGGCACCCAGCTGCCCCGACTGCCGATCAGCGTCCCCATGGCAGCTGGGGACCTGTGTCAGGCACGTACCATCGCTGGGGCTGTTTTTGTGCGTCTGCTTTTGTTATCTGCTCAAGAAGGTTTGGTTGAAAAATTCCAATGTTGTTCCAGCTGGATGGGGGGATCGGCCAAATGTCAGCAGGAGAGTAGGAAGGGGGGCCGCAACCGGGCGTGGGGGCGGCCAGGGCCCCTGCAGCCAGCGACCGGTTCATGCATGGGGCAGAGAGCGAGGGAGAGACCAGGGGGGCTGAGAGGCACAGAGACTGTCAGAGGGGCCAAGGTCAAAATCGGAAATCTGAGGCAGACAGACAGAGAGCCTGGGCAGCAACAGAGAGCTGGAGAGACACAAACACCCAAACACTCAGACCTAGAGGCTGAGAAGTGAGGCTGGGAGGCAGGGCTGAGCCCAGAGGAGAGACACCGGGGAGACAGCAGCAGCAGTAACAGCAGAGATGCGTCTGGTGAGCGCCCGAGCGCCGGGCTTGCACGGGACTGGTTTCTCGCACTGATTCGCTTTATCCTGACACAGTTTCTCCCACAGGTACCAGATTTACCCCCAATTCACTGATGAGGCAACTGAGACCTGAAGTCTTGGGAGGGCGGGAGTAGAAGCGTAAAGGCAAGTCCAGGTGGACTGATTCTAAGGGGTCAACTCAGACAGGTGGCGATGGCACTAGGATGCCTCTGGCGATGGGGAGCTCACTACCTGTTTTTTTCACGGTGAGCATTTTCTGCCCGAAGAAGGTGGTATCATTCTGACGTCTCCTTTTCCCTTTGGCCTGGTGGTGGGGTAGGTGGGGGGTCTCAAACCCCAGTTTGGGGCCTGATGAAGCTGACTCCATATAGAGAGGCGAGGATCCTGAGCCCCTGTCTGTCCTCAGCCTCCAAAAGTCTCTTTCCTGGGCTGGACTGGCCCCAGGGCCCCCTCCCTGGGCTGGG